TGGGAAAGTGTGTGCTAGCAGTGATCTAGTACCTGTGGGAAAGTGTGCTGGGAGTGATCCAGTACCTGTGGGAAAGTGTGTGCTAGGAGTGATCCAGTACCTGTGGGAAAGTGTGTGCTAACAGTGATCTAGTACCTGTGGGAGTGTGTGCCAGGAGTGATCCAGTACCTGTGGGAAAGTGTGTGCTAACAGTGATCCAGTACCTGTGGGAGAGTGTGCTAGGTGTGATCCAGTACCAGTGGGATGTGTGTTAGGAATAATCCAGAGTGATCTAGTACCTGTGTGGATGAAAGTATGTTTCTTCATATCTGATTTCTGATGGAAAGACTTGCCGCAGTATTGACAGGGATAGGGCCGAGTGTCTGAGTGAATCAGCAGGTGGGTGGATAACGTCGAAGAGCGTTTGAAATTTTTCCCACAAATCTTGCAGTTGAAACTCTTCTCCTACAGAAAGGGAAATGTAGACAGATAAAGTTGTTTGACATTTTAATAACTCTCCCATTGATTTGATATCTGCAATAGCATTTCCCAGGTCTTCGAGTAACACAGTCCCCATTAACTAATGATAGCCGGTGAGGCTTTACTATGAGTACCAACAGCTGGTCAACTATGAGGGCATCATAAATGTAATAATCCCACTGCCCGTTCTCTTCCCACAGCTCTGTCTCAATTCCAAACTAATCAAAATCTCTCCATAGCTGTAAAACCATCCCAAACTAATCCCACTACCTTTTCTATCCCCATACCCTGTCTCAATCCCCAACTAATCCCTGTACCAAACTCCCTCCACTTGGTCCTGCATCAATTGCCAAGCTAGTCCCACTTCCAGTTCTCTCACATAGCCCTGCATTAATTCCAAAAACTAATCCCATCGCCCTGCACTCTTCCAATAGCCCCATATCAACCCACAAACTAATTCCACTATCCCCTCACTCCCTATTGCCCTGTTCCAATCCCCAAACTAATCCCATTGCGCCACTCTTGCCACGCAGCACTATATCAATCCCCAAAGTAATCACTTCACTAACACCTTCCACCCCAACCTTAAGTTCACCTGGACCATCTCTAACACCTCTCTCCCCTTCCTGGACCTCTCTGTCTCCATATCGGGCAACCACCTAGAAACCGATATTCATTTCAAGCCCACCGACTCCCACAGCTACCTAGAATACTCCTCCTCCCACCCACCTTCCTGCAAAAATGCTATCCCCTATTCCCAATTCCTTCGCCTCTGCCGCATCTGCTCCCAGGATGAGGCATTCCACTCCCGTACATCTCAGTTGTCCTCGTTTTTCAAGGACCGTAACTTCCCCTCCTCGGTGGTCGAGAACGCCCTCAACCGTGTCTCCCACATCTCCCGCACCTCATCCCTCACACCCCGTCCACGCAATAAGAACCAAAAAAGAATCCCCCTCGTCCTCACGTACCACCCCACCAACCTCCGGATCCAACGCATCATCCTCCGACACTTCCGCCATCTGCAATCCGACCCCACCACCAAAGACATCTTTCCCTCCCCACCCTTATCTGCTTTCCGGAGGGACAACTCTCTCCGTGACTCCCTTGTCCGCTCCACACTCCCCTCCAGCTCCACCACACCCGGCACTTTTCCCTGCAACCGCAGGAAGTGCTACACCTGCCCCCATACCTCCTCCCTCACCCCCATCCCAGGCCCCAAGAAGACTTTCCACATCAAGCAGATGTTCACCTGCACATCTGCCAATGTGGTATACTGCATCCGCTGTACCCGGTGTGGCTTCCTCTACATCGGGGAAACCAAGCGGAGACTCGGGGACCGCTTTGCAGAACACCTACGCTCGGTTCGCAATAAACAACTGCACCTCCCAGTCGCGAACCATTTCAACTCCCCCTCCCATTCCTCAGACGACATGTCCATCCTGGGCCTCCTGCAGTGCCACAACGATGCCACCCAAAGGTTGCAGGAACAGCAACTCATATTCCGCTTGGGAACCCTGCAGCCCAATGGTATCAATGTGGATTTCACAAGTTTCAAAATCTCCCCTCCCCTTACCGCATCCCAAAACCAGTCCAGCTCGTCCATGCCTCCCTAACCTGTTCTTCCTCCCACCTATCCCCTCCTCCCACCTCAAGCCGCACCTCCATCTCCTACCGACCAACCTCATCCCGCCCCCTTGACCTGTCAGTCCTCCCTGGACTGACCTATCCCCTTCCTAACTCCCTACCTACACTCACCTTTACTGGCTCCATCCCCGCCTCTTCGACCTGTTTGTTTCCTCTCCACCTATCCTCTCCTCTATCCCTCTTCTATCCGCCTCCCACTCTCTCCCTATTTATTTCAAAACCCCCTTCCCCTCCCCCTTTTCTGATGAAGGGTCTAGGCCCGAAACGTCAGCCTCTCTGCTCCTATGATGCTGCTTGGCCTGCTGTGTTCATCCAGCCCTGCACCTTGTTGTCTCGGATTCTCCAGCATCTGCAGTTCCTACTATCTCTCCCCCCTTCCCCACTCTTCCCACTTTGGGATTGGAAGAAAACCTGAATGTCATGTGAACACAGTTCCAGAATGGTTTATGTAAGAATAGTAACTAATGTGGAGGTCCCATGTCGTGTTTCAGCTCTTTTTCATTCTGTCAACTCATGTTTCTGTAGCAGTGATGAATTTCCTGTTCTCCACAGACATCCTCATGAGGCACTGTACCCTGCAGTAATATCACCATCTACTGGTTTGGGGAATTATGACACATAGAGATCTCATCATCAGAATTATAACTTTAATAGAAAAATCTGACATTAAATATTCAGTATACACCAGGCTTTCTTTCAGAAATCCTTTGATATTTCATGAGAAAACTTAGTGGTTCAGAGCACAGTAAATATACTACATATGAATATAGTATTTTGTACCACTTATTTATGACATGACATGTTGAGACACTGCACATGTGGATATTGTGTGTAATTTTATGCATGTTTGTATGTGAGCAAAATTTGTGTATATGTCTCTGAAAGTGAAAGTGTGTCTGAAAGTGAGAACGTTTGAGTTTATGTGTGTGATTGTTTGTGAATGTGTATGTGTGTGGATTGTTGCAACGTTGTGTAGAGTACTTTGAATTGGAAGGCAGGAAGTTATAATTTGTTTGTAAAAATGATAGGGGGTAAACAGTGTGTACCATTTAGAGGTGATGTGTTTTTCTAAACTTGGAGATTTAGACAAAAATGTCTGAAAGCAGCTGCAGATATGCAGACAGTTCTGAAATTGAAACATTTGTATTAATTGGAAGCGGTTGGAAACCCAGGCTTGTTTTGACGTTAAGGCAACCAGCTTGAATATCAGCCAATTAATTTAAACCAGGCACCTAGAGACTGAAAACCTATTGAATTTAAATCTGTTGGTGTTGACAACCTAGGGCCGATCCGATTAAAAGAAAATTGACAGGTCATCAAGGGTATATAAGAAGAAGGTTTTCGAAAATCAGAGTGAGAGGGAACTGCCATCGGAAGAGTAAAACTCTGGCTTTCACAGAAATCTTTAAGCTCTCTGATTAAGTACCATCTAAAAGGTACCACGGCACTCTTAGCCAATATTCCTGACATTAGAATTCAACAGACAGAGGTGTTTTGGATACTAGAATTTGACGGAGAAAGGCGTTCCTGGTTGAGGATCAATGGAGTGGTCGCGGAGCATTCCAGAAGTCGCATCCTGACTGTACTTTTGACAGTCTTAAGTTTTAATTTTTTTTTTCTTACTACTTTTGTTTATATAAGTGGAATTTGTATTTATTGGAACAGCATACCATTAGAATTTTGTTTTATTAGGGAATAGTTAGTCATTAAGGGGGAATTGTTTGGTTTGTTAGTAGTTCTATTAATTTGTTCACTGCTAGAGTTAAATAAATAAATTGTTATTTGTTGCTTATAGAGTGAGTGAAAGGATTTTGTTTCATTTAACCTCTCCTTTATAATAGATTGGGAGGTGAAAGGCAGGTTATATCATTTTTCCCATTTCCTTTAGCAAATTATGAGGTGAGGCAAGCTTTTCTGGGTATTTCGGCTTTTAATTATCAGAGGGGTTTGACCTCCTCTCTGTAACAGCATATAGAGTCATACAGCACGGAAACAGACCCTTCAGTCAAACTGGTCCATGCTGACCAGATATCCATATCTGATCTAGTCCCATTTACCAGCATTTGGCCCATATCCGTTGTTGTAGAGGCCATTGACTAAAGTTGTTGTAACAAGGCTGGAAAGGAATTTCCAGATGCCATTCACAGCCAGGCTTGTGGTCTCTGAAATAACTCGATAAAGGCCGGTATCCGTCACCAAGTCACCCTTTATTTACACGTGCATAGTACAAGACACTGACCTTGCTAGATCAGTGCTGGCTCCTAGAGGAACAGAACCCCTGACACTCCTGTTTATATCTGACAGCCAAGACTCCCTGATTGGACCAGGTTAACACCTCCAAACAGGGACTCTTATTCTGAGAACAACCTGGCTGACCTTGTTCCAATTACAACAGTCTCCATATAGAGATACCGGATAAGATTTCCCATAGGAAAAAACGTTAGGGAATTTACTTAGGCTTTTGTAAACACACAGTTCTAAATACATAAGCATTGTAATAAGGGGAATTTTTCAAAGGCCTAGTTACGCCACAGTCCAAACTTTGTTATTTAGTGAAATCTAGAAGGAAATGTCTGATCCTATGGTACTCCAAACTTTTTAGGTATTTGTAAATTAGAAATGCAAACAACAAATAAGTGTGAAAGGGTTAGTTGAATTCCTTGAGCAAATGTTTGTAGGCAGTAAAGTGGCCTGCTGTATCATTAGAAAAGAAATAAATGACCTCTAAAGGACCATCAGCATCAGAAGTGGGGGAGAAGGCAAAGGGAGCTTGTAAAAGAGAGGTCAGAATGGGGGAAGAGATAAAAATTGAAGCATAAGTACAGATGTAGATAATTTGAACAAATTCTTGCATCCAAAGATCAAGGGAAGAGTGACAGAGACAAGTTACAAAACATAGAGTGAAAATGTGGTATGTCCCCTGGTTATTTGTGGAATCTAAACAAGTTTTGTTTATTGAATCAGAGATAGTAGGAACTGCAGATGCTGGAGAATCCGAGACAACAAGGTGCAGGGCTGGATGAACACAGCAGGCCAAGCAGCGTCATAGGAACAGAAAGGCTGACGTTTCGGGCCTAGACCCTTCATCAGTTTTGTTTATTGGCTTGGTAAAGTTGTGAAATGATTGAATTTCACCCTCATCAGTGGATTTCAAATAGATACTTTCTATTAGGGAAAGAAAATTAGTAATGGAAAGTGTTTGGAGCAGAAACAAGAAAGATTTATTTAAAAATTAAACTCTGGTTTAAAACTCACTTACAATGTGAGAATGTGATTCCAACTGGAAGTCAGCGAGACTGTTTGTTTGATCTCTCAGCTGTGGCACAGAATTGTAGTAACTAGAATTCATAGAATCCCTACAGTGTGGAAACAGGCCATTTGGCCCAACAAGTCCACACTGACCCTCTTAAGAGCATCCCACCCAGACCCAAACCCCTATCATATATCCCCGCATTTCCCACAGCTAATGCACCTACCCTACACATCCCTGAACACTGGTTAATTTAGCATTGACAATCCACATAACCTGCACATCACTGGACTGTGGGGGGAAATCCAGAGCACCTGGCGGAAACCCACGTTGACACAGGGAGAAAGTGCAAACTCCACATAAACAGTTGCTCAAGGCTGGAATCAAACCTGTGTCCCTGACACCGTGAGGCAGCAGTGCTAACCACTGATCCACCGTGCCACCTTCTTAAAGGCTTTATAACAGTTAGTGGACAGTAATATCCTTTCTAATAGACTGTTCTATAAATTGCAATATAGAATTTGGAAGAGTCCTCAGTGATAAGCAAGTTTTTGGGTTATTAGCAAATAATGCAGAGCAGCTGGCAAATGTTTGGGAAGGAGTATAAAACTCAGAATTGAAAAGTGGTTTAACAGCAGGTATTGAGATTCTAAAACCAATGATAAGAGTATTTGGGAAACATTATGAGATTATAGGAGGACCTAGGACTGTCCATAGAGTTGTCTGTAATTGATCGTGTGTTTACTGGATTGCATGTATAAATTAGGGAGTGTGGCTAACAATGATGTCAATGTTGCATTCATTATTGTAATGTGAATGGTGTAAAAATGTTATATTCAGCCAGGAAAATTGGAATGTCACTGATCTCTCCTCCTATCTGAGCTGTATTTTAAGAGGGCAGCTGGGCCCCACGTGAAAGCCAAATTCGGAGTGGTCTCTGGCCTCTCCTACATGTGTGGTAAAAGAGCTCTGAATAAAGGTCACTTGTGCTGCGAAACACAGAACTCAAGATGACTGTTTGATATTTCTCCCTATAACATCCCTTTAAAACCCTTCCTATTCATATACACATCCAGAGGCTTTCTAAATGTTGTAATTCTACCTGCCTGCATTTCTTGCTTTGGCAGCCTGTTCCATACACACATTTACCTCTTACTCCTCATGTCCTTTTTAAATCTTTTCCTTCTCACCTTAAACGTTTAGTTTTGGACTCCCCTACCCTGGGAAAAAGACCTTGTCAATTTACCCTATCCGTGCCCCTCATGATTTTATAAACTTCTATCAGGTCACCCCTCGGCATCTGACAATCCTGGGAAAATAGCCGTAGCCTATCCAGCCTCTCTCTATAACTCAAACCCTGTGGTCTTGGCAACATCCTTGTAAATCTTTTCTACACCCTCTCAAGTTTAACATTCTTCCTGTAGCAGGGCGACTGTGTATATGTGAATTAGAGGATGTGAAAGTGAGAATGAGAGTATTGAGTGTTTGTGTCTGCATGTGAAACACTATGTGAGTGTGTGTATCTGGAAATGAGAGTGTGTGTAAATGAATGTTTGTGTGAGTGTGTCTGAGTGACAGTGTGTGTATGTGAATGTTTATGTGTGTGCAAATGTGTGTCTGTGTGAACATGTGTTTATACATGTGTGTGTTTGTGAATGCATGCAAGTATATATGAAAGTATGTATATGTGTTGTGACTTTAAGATGTGAGTTTTGTCCTGGTTTCTTTTGGAGAGAGATGGGAGACAGTTAACGAGCAGTCTGTGAGAAGACAAACAACTTTTGAAGCCTTGGGGTTTTTCTTTAAAGTTGGAATAATAGAAGCAGCCTGAGTGTTTATGGTCAAGCTCTGGCACATCAAGGATTTTTAGTTAGCTTTCAGCAGTTGCTTTTTGGGCTTGAAGAAGTGGTAGCTACTTTTCCCTCCCTCAAATATAGACAAAAGCTGGGGATTCTCTTCCTAGGCTGCTGGAATTCATGTGAGACAAAATCTGTTTTCTGAATTCGCCTTTTTGCTACAGGGTGTGTTTATAAGATGTTACTACATTGGAACAGTTAATTAGAAATAGTTACTGTATCTATTATTCTGTTAAGTTTTCCTAAGAGTTAAGTTATTCTGTGTTCTTCTTTCTCTTGTTGTATTGTGTTTTGCTTAACGTCGTGTGTAGTTTAACCAGTCAAATTGCATCTGGAACACAGCACTTTACATTTATCTTTAAAATAAGAAAAAGTTAGGGTCTAGGCTACCTTCTTAAAATATTTCGAGGGAGTCTGGTCGTGTCCATGACAGTGTGTGTGTTTGAGGATATGTGTGAGTATGTGTGAAAGTGTGCATGTTGGTGTATGTTTGTGGATGTGTACAAATAATTGTAAAAGTGTGTTTGTGGGTGTTTAAGTGTGTGTGTGTGTGTGTGCGTGTGTGTGTGTGTGTGTGTGTGTGTGAGAGAGAGAGAAAATATGAGTGTGAACAGGTAAGTGTGTACAGAGATTGCAGATCTTACCTTGACCTGGGAATGTGTGGCCTGATGTTGTTCCAGACTGACAGCATGCCCAAAGGCTTTGCCACAACCCTCACAGACGAAGAGCTGGCTGCCACTGTGTGACCTTCGTACATGCACCTCTAGCCCATGAGAAGTTGAAAACACCTACAAACAAATGCAACAGATATAAGAGTGGCTTTCAGTGATTCCAGATTGCAGAATGATAGATGTGTACAGCACAGGAAAATGCCCTTCAGCACACTGAGTCTGCACCAGTCAAAAATAATTAGCCAACTATTCCAGTTTGACAAAGCAACTCACTTTATTCGTGCTACATCCACAAACAAACACTCTCTTCAATACTGATCCTGTATCATAGCAGTGTGTACCTCTGCAGAAATAGACAAACTGACGCTGCAAATTGAAGTAAATGAATATGATCTCATAGCCATTATGTAAATGTTATTACAAGGAGATCAAAAGTGGGAACTTGACATTCATGAATGTATGACCTTTTGGAAAGAAAGGGCGGGTGGAAAATGAGGTGGTGGAGCATTGCTGATAAGAGATGAAATGAGGTCATTGTGAGAGAAGATCTCAGCTCGGATGATGTAGAGTCCATTTGGGCGCAGGTTAAAAAAAGCAAAGGAATGAGGACATTGGTAGGAGTAGTGTGCAGGGCCCCAAACAGTAGCCACTGTGTAGGAGAAGCTATAAATGAACAAACATTAGGAGAATATAACAGAATATAGCAATAATTATGAGTGACTTTAATATTCATGTTGATTGGGTGAATAAAATTGGAAAGGGAGCAACAAGAACTAGTTCATTGTGTGTATTAGGGATAGTTTCCTGGAGCGATATGTCATGGAGCCATCCAGGGAGCAGGCTATCCTGGATCTGGTAATGAGGCGGGTTGAATAAATGACTTTAGAGTAAAAGATCCCCTAGGAAGTAGTGATCATAAAATGATAGAATTCAATATTCAGTTCGAGAGTGAGAAACTTAGGTCCGAAACAACTGTGTTTAACTGAGTATTGGAGTTGGGATATCATTTTGAGGTTGTATAGGACATTGGTGAGGCCACTTTTGGAGTACTGTGTACAGTTCTGATTGCCTTGCTATAGGATGGATGTTATTGAGATGGGGAAGGTTCAGAAAAAAAATTATCAGGATGTTGCTGGGACTGGAGGCTTTGAATAGGTTGGGTTATTTTTCACTGGTGTTTAGGAAGTTGAGTGGTGAGAGGTTTATGAAATGATGAGGTGCATAGACAAGGTAAATGGCAAAGGTCTTTTCCTTAGGAAGGGGGAGTTCAAAACTAGGGGACATATTTTTAAGGTTAGAAGAGAAAGATTTAAAAAGTTCCTGAGGGGCACCTTTTTCACACAGAGGGTGGTTCTTATGTGAATGAACTGCCAGAGGAAGTTGCCAGATGCAGGTACAGTTATAGCATTCAAAAGACATTTGGATAGGTACATGAATAGAAAATGTTTAGAGGAATATGGGCCAAATGCAGGCAAGTGGGACTAGTTTAGTTTGGGAAACTTGGTAGGCCTGGATGAGTTGGACCGAAGGGTCTGTTTCTGTGCTGTATAACTGAATGACTGTAAATCAAGGGAATTACAATGAAATGCATTAGCTAAAATGAATGAAATTAGTTAGCAAAAGGTCACTTTGCTGCAGCTTTGAGAAATGCAACAGGTCTGGCAGCATCTGTGGAGAGAGATAAACAGAGGAAATGACTCAAGTCCAGTGACCCTTCTTCAGAACTGGTAGTAGCTGGGAAAAGGTGGTATTTATGATGATGACTGTGATCGGGGATGGCGGGGGTAAAGTATGAGTGGACAGGTGGAGACGGAGTTCAAAGAGATAGAGAAAAAACCAGTGTAGGTAGACAAAGGGATTGTTTATAGTATGGCTATGGAAGAAGAGAATTCAAATAAGTGATAATGGGGACTCTGAATAGTCTCTGTCTGTGTGGGTCTAGTGTGACTGGGTATAATTGTGGCTGTATTTGTTTGTGTCTGAGTGTGATTGTGACTACGTGTGACTGTGATGTTTTTGTTAATGGATGTATTTCAGTGTGATAGCGTGAGTCTGTGTGTGACTGTGAATGACTGTGAGTGGTTGGGTGTAACTGGGTGTGACTGTGACTGTGTGCATATCCACATTTCTCTGTATATGACCGTGAATATAACTGGATGTATCTGAGTGTGATTGTGATAGTGTGTGTTTGGATGTGTGTCAGAGACACCGTGACAAGGTGTAATTGTGATTGTGTGCGTCTGGGTGTGATTCATTACCTTGTCACATTTGCTGCAGCTATAAGGAGTTTTGTGCAGGCTCCGCTGTGTGTAGATGACATTACTCTTATCTTCCATGTTTCGTGCAGTGCTCTGGCTCTGAAGTGTGCTCCTGGGGTCCAACATGGGTGATAGGTAATCCTCAACCAGATGTTTAAGTCCAACTGTGGAGTAAGCACTCCAGGAGTACGGTTGGAATTGTAATCCAAGGCTGTGAGGTGACTCCGAAGAGTGAAGCAAGTTATCTGAAATCAAAATATACAACCAAGGTGATTTAACTAACTTGACCAAACAATTCCTTACTATTGCAGACTCTTTCTCCTTCACATATGGATCCATTTCATTCCAATTCTGACCAGTCTTCTAAAAGCTGTTTTATTGAGGGGAGGATGGTGGCATTCCATTGATAATCTTAGTCAAGTAATCTAGAATCTCAGGCTAATGATCCAGGGACGTGGGTTCACAATCCCACCCCATGAAGATGATGAAATTTGATTTCAATAAAAAAGGAAAAATCTAGAATGGAAAGCTAGCCATGGGTAAACCATGTAGCCAGAGTTGTAAAAAAAAGTCTGGTTCACCAGTGTCTTTCAGGAAAGGAAATCTGGCATCTTTACCTGATCTGGACTACATATGGGACTCTTGTAGATTTGGCAGCACAGACTCGATGGGCCAAAGGGCCTCTTCTGTACTGTTATTGCTCTATGTGACTCTAGACTCACAGTGATGTGATTGACTCTTATCTGCCCTGTAGGCAATTAGGGATAGGCAATAAATCTAGCCCAGCCACATCCTGTAAAGAATGTAAAATAAATTCAGCCTTGTTGTAACAGGGCAGCAACCACTGGGATTTTCTCAGTCGTCATACTCTGCTGATACTGCTCACAGAACCACAGAATCGCTATAGCACAGGAGGATATTCGGCCCATCGTACCTGCACATCTCTGCAAATTGAGAATCATTACCTTGTGCCAATCTCCTTCTTTTTCCCCATACCCTTGCAGACTATTTCTATCTAATGATCATCCAATGCCCTCTTGAATGCCTCAATTGAACCTGTCTCTACCATACCCTAACTACTCGCTGTGTGATAAAGGTTTTCCTTACGTTATACTTGTTTCTTTTGCACATCCCTTTCAATATTTCCCTTATTTTTTCTTTTACAAATGGGAACAGCTTATCCCTTCTACTCTATCCAGCCCACTCATGATCTTGAAAAATATCAAATCTCCTCCAGTCATCTGGCACTTCACATGAAGTATTAAATATCTTTGCCAGGGTCCCAGAAATATCCTCCCTTTCATCTTTATGCCTGCTAAAACATAATATCGCCTCCTTATTAATCTTAACATGTTCTAGAACTCACCATCCCAGCTGAAGTCTCCAGCTACAATATCTTTCTCCTTTGTGAATACAGATGAGAAATATTAATTTACGATCTCACCCACGTCCCCTGGCTCCATGCACAGTTTGCCTCTTTGGTCTCTAATAGGTCCCACTCGTGCCCTGGGAATCATCTTATTCTTAATATACTTTTAGAAAAAGCCTTGGGGTTTTCTTGATAGCATCTGCCAAATATATTTTGAAGTCCTCTTGCCTTCCTAGTTTACTTTTAAAGCAATCCCCTGCACTCTCTTTACTTTTGAAGGTCCCCCTCCTGACTGTTTTTAATGTGCTGTACCTGACCTATGCTTCCTTCTTTTTTGTTATTAAACTCTCGATGTCCCTTGACATCCAGGGTTCCCTGGACTTGCTGTCCTTGCCCTTCTCTCCTAGAGGAACACACTGGCTCTGAGTTCTTAGTGCAGCCTTCCCCCAATTTAGATGCCTAACTTCTGCACTATCCTTATCCCTTTCCACAATGACTTTGATATTGACAGAGTTATGGTCACTATCCCCAAAATGCTCACCCATTCAAACTTCAACCACTTGACCGGCTTCACTCCCTAGAATTAGATCTAGCACTTCCCCATGTCTAGTTCAATTATCTATGTACTGGCACAAAAAGCTCACCTGGATGCACTTTAAAAATTCCACCCTGTCTAATCCTTTCACATTAAGATGATCCCAGTTAATGTTAGCAAAGTTGAAATCCCCTACATCTATAATCCCATTCTCTCTTTCTGTGATTTGCCTACATATCTGCTCCTTGAACTGTTGGGAGACCTGTAGAATAGAAAGATAATCACCTCTTTCTTATTTCTACTTGCCTCACAAGTGACTGATTAGCACCCGAGAATTAACTGCTGTATGCCTTTTTGACCACCTTATTCACATGTTGCCACTTTCAGGGATCTGTATACCCAGATCCCCCTTTACAACAATGGTCCTCAGGGTTCTGCCAATCATTGTATAATTTGCACCTGAATTTGATCTTCCAAAATGCATCACCTTGGGTTTGTCCGGATTAAACTCCACTTGCCATTTCTCTGTCCAATTCTGCAATCTATCTATATCCTTCTGTATCCTTTGACAATCCTCCTCACTGTCTGCCACTCTGTCAATTTTGGTGTCATCTGCAAACTTAGAAGGTAGAGGATTGGCTAACTAATGGAAGAAGAGTTGGGGTTGGGGGCATTTTCAGGATGGCAACCTGTAACTAGTGGAATGCCACGGGGATTATTGCTGGGGCTACAGTTATTTACAATATATAGTAATGATTTAAATGAGGAAAGTGAATATACTATAACTAAGTTTGTGGCTGACACAAAAATAAGTGGAACGCAAGTAGTGATGATGACACAGAGTCTGCTGAGGGATGTAGACAGGTTAAACAATTGGATAAAAGCTTAGCAGATGGAATATAATGTGGGAAAATGTTAGATTACGCACTTTGACAGAAAGAATAGAAGATCCGAATGTTATTTAAATGGAGAAAGACTGCAGAAAGCTTCAGCACAGAGGGATTTGGGAATTCCTTTAAATTAATCACAAAAATCTAGCATCCAAGTTCAATAGGTAATAGGGAGGGCAAATTGAATGCTTGCCTTTATTTCAATGGGAATAGAGTACAAAAATAAGAAAATCTTGCCAAAACTGTACAAAGCACTAGTCAGACCACAGTTGGAATACTATGAACAATTTTAGGCTCTTTAACTAAAAGATAGATATACTGGTATTAGAGACAGTCTGGAGAAGGTTCATTTTGTTGATTTGAACATGGAGGGACTGTCTTAGGAGAAGAGGTTTGGTAGTTTGGACTTTTACTCACTGGTGTTTCAAAAAATGAGAGGTGACCTTATTTAAATCTTTAAGATTTGACAGGATAGATGCGAAAAGATTATTTCCCTTTGTGGCAAGGTATGGTCTAGAAGGCATAATCTTAGACTAAGGAGTAACCTAGTTAGGACAGAGATAAGGCGGAATTTCTTCTCCCAAAAGGTAGTGAATCTGTGGAATTCTTTACTGCATAGGGCTGTCAATGCTAGGCTGTTAAGTATATTCAAGGCTGTGATAGACAGGTTTTTAAACAGTAAGGGAATCAAGGACTATGGGGCAAAGGCAGGAATGTGGAGTTGGAGATTATCAGATCAGTAATGATCTCATTGAATGGCGAAGCAGACTTGATGAGCTGAAGGCCTGCTTCTGCTCCTATGTCTCATGGTCTTATGGAGCTTCCAGCTGGTGTCTACTCCTTGGGAGAACAGGAATAATGAGGTTGAATTAACCATAGACACAAAATACAGAAAGTTCTGAAGTTATTTCTTTAGAAAGACATACCAGGTGAGGAGACAGATCCCCAGATGTTCTCCACTTGACTTTCGCATTTTCCTGTCTCTGTTCCATGAGGATTTGTGAAGATCTCTCTTGCCCTGATTGATCCAGTGTTTATCTGAGGTGTTCTCCAACACCCAAACTCTGACCCTTGCCCCAAGGTGTCCTTCTCAGTGGGATTGACACTTCGCGAGGGCTCCAGAAATTTGGTTGAAGCATCTGACGTTCCTGGGGACACAGGCTTCTCTTGGTCAGCTTGTTCTGAAGAGAAAGAAGGAGAGAGGCAGAGTCAAGGGGGTGTGGGCCATAACTGCTAGCACAGTAGATAGTGTAAACATGAATTTGCAGGAATCCCAGTTCCGTCAGTAGCTGACAGTGGAGCCAGAGCCATATGCCAGAGTCAAATTGGGCAGCCAAAGGAACCAGACACTCGGACCAGATTTGTATCCCAATGTTCCCAGGTTCAGGCTTAAAAACACTGTATCAATCGATCATCAGTACATGGGACTACTGTAGAGTTAGTCACTGCTCAGTCCTTGTGCTGGCTTGGGGGTGTTGGGAGAGACCGTCTTCTCCTGAGGACAGACCATGAAGGGTGGGGGTGAGACAATATTTCCTTCTACAGACTACATATCGTTAACGTTAGCCATGGGTGAGGTCCCAGAAGACTGGAGGGTAACAAATGTTGTACCCTTATTCAAGAAGGGCTGCAAAGAAAAACCTGGGAACTATAGACCAGTAAGCTTAACGTCTGTGGTAGATAAGTTACTTTAGAAGGTTCTGAAGGATAGATATACGTGCATTTGGAAAGACAGAGTTTGATTAGGAGTAGTCAGCATGGATTTGTGCGTAGGAGATCATGCCTCACAAATTTGTTAGAGTTGTTTGATGAAGTGACCAGGAAGATTGACGAGGGCAGGCCAGTAGACATAGTCTATATGGATTTCAGTAAGGCCTTTGGTAAGGTTCCACATGGTAGGCTGCTCTGAAAGGTTAGATCGCATGGAATCCATGGAGATCTGGCAAATTGGATACACAATTGGCTTGATGGTAGGAAGCAGAGAGTAATAGTGGAAGGATGCTTGTTGGAATTGGAGGCCTGTGACTCGTGGTGTGACTCAGGGATTGGTGCTCGGCCCATTGCTGTTTGTTATCTATATCAATGAATTGGATGAGAATGCACAAAGCATGATTAGAAAGTTTGCGGATGACACTAAAATAGGCGATATAGTGGACAGTGAAGAAGGTTAACAGAAATTACAGCAGGATCTTGATCAGCTGGGGAAGTGGGCCAAGAAGTGGCAAATGGAGTTTAATATAGATAAGTGAGAGGTGTTGCATTTTGGAAAATCAAATCAAGGTAGGAGTTTCATGGTGAATGGTACGGCCTTAAGGAGTGTTGTAGAACAGAGGGACCTTGGAGTTCAGGTGCACGATTCTCTGAAAGTGGAGTCACAGGTAGACAGGGCAGTGAAGAAGGCTTTTGGCACACTGGCCTTCATCAGTCAGGGCATTGAATATAGAAGTTGGGAAGCTATGTTGCAGTTGTGCAGGATGTTGGTGAGGCCACATTTGGAGTATTATATTCAGTTTTAGTCACCTTGCTATAGGAAGGATGTTATTAAACTGGAAAGTATACAGAAGAAATTTACAAGGATGTTGCCAGGACTCAAGGGTCTGAGTTACAGGGAGAGGTTGGACAAGCTAGCACTTTTTTCTTTAAAATGGAGGAGACTGAGGGGTATCTTATAGAAGTGTATAAGATAACGAGAGGCATGGATAGGATGAATGCACTCAGTCTTTTTCCCAGTGTTGGGTAATCATGGATTAGAGGGCATCAGTTTAAGATAAGGGGGGGGAAAGAATACATGGGAAGCTGAGGGCCAACTTTTTTACACAGGGGATGGTATGCATATAAAATAAGCTGCCTGTGGAAGTGGTTGAGGTGGGTACATTAACAAAATTTAAAAGCCATTTGGACAAATACATGGATAGGAAAGCTTTAGAAGGATATGGGCCTAGTTCAGGGAAATGGGGTTAGTGTGGATGGACATTTTAGTTGGCATGGACCAGTTTGGGCTGAAGAGCCTGTCTCAGTGCTGTAGCACCCTATGACTCTGACTCTGTGTCAAGATGCAGCCATATTGAGCAGGATGTTGGATTGTCCCAGGAAACAGGTAAAGGTTTGAATTGTCCTGAGCAGGCAGAGGAGTACTGGTGGACGAGCCCCTGGGCAGGAAACTAGAAACTAGGAGCAGGAATAGGCCATTCGGCCCTCCAAACCTACTCCACCATTCAGTATGATCATCAGTGATCCTCTCTCTCAATGCCGTATTCCTGCTTTCTCCCCATTCCCTTTGATGCCTTTAACATTGAAAAATGTATCTTTCTTGAATACATTCAGGGACTTGGGCTCCACAGCCTTTTGTGAGGGAGAATTCCACAGGTTAACTAATCTTTGGGTGAAGTAATTTTTCCTCACTTTAGTCCGAAATGGCCTGCTCCATATCTTGTCACTGTGTCCCCTGGTGTAGACTCTTCAGTCAGGGAAAACATCCTCCCTGCATCTAGTTTGTCCAGCCCAGTTAGAATTTTTTATGTTTCAATCAGATCCCCTCTCATCCTTCGGAACACTAGTGAGTACAGACCCAGTGGAACCAATCTCTCCTTACAGGACAGACCTGCCATTCCTAGAAATAGCTTAGTGAACTTTTGCTGCACTCCCTGTTTGGCAAGTATATCCTTTCTTAAGTAGGGGGAGCAAAATTGCACATAATATACCAGGTCTGGTCTCACCAACACCCTGTATAACTGCGTAAGACATCCTACTTGGCAGATTGGCAGGGAGTGGGGAACCGGATTTGTAATTCAGAGGATGAGGCATTCAGCCTTCCAACGGACACAACAAGAAGTGAGGTTGTTAATAAAGAAATGCGGTCGATGGAGCGTAATTGTCGACACAGGGATGGTTTGAAGTGTGTATACTTCAATGCTAGGAGTATCAGACGTAAGGCAGATGAACTTAGAGCATGGGTCAGTACTTGGAACTATGATGTTGTGGCCATTACAGAAACTTGGGTAACTCAGGGACAGGAATGGTTGTTGGAAGTTTCGGGATTTAGCTGCTTTAAAAGAAATAGGGAGGGTGGTAAAAGAGGCATGGAAAAGAGGTGAAAGATTGGTGCTTGGTAATGAACCGGGCCAAGTGTTAGACCTGTTGGTAGGAGAGCATTTTGGCGGTAGCGATCATAACTCTGTTACTTTTACAATAGTCATGGAAAAGGATAGGTACATACAGCAGGGTAAGGTTTATAATTGGGGGAAGGGTAATTGTAATTCTGTTAGGCAAGAACTGGGTAACATAAAATGGGAACAGATGCTGTCAGGGAAGAGCACTGTTGAAATGTGGAGATTGTTTAAGGAATGTATACTGTGTGTGCTCGATATGTTTGTCCCTAGCAGGCAGGGAAGATGCAGTCGAGTGAGGTAGCCTTGGCTCTCAAGAGAGGTCGAACGACTGGTTAAGAGGAAGAAGGATGCTTATATAAGGTTTAGGAAACAAGGATCGGAAAAGGCTCTAGAGGGATACAAGTTAGTCAAGAAGGAGCTGAATAAAGGGCTTAGGAGAGCTATAAGGGGGCATGAGAAAACCTGGGCAGATAGGATCAAGGAAAACTTCAAGGCTTTTTACACGTACGTGAGGAATAAGAGAATGACCAGAGAAAGGGTAGGGCCGATCAAGGATTGTAAAGAGAATTTGTGCATGGAGCCTAAAGAGATAGGAGAGGTCCTTAATGAATACTTTTCTTCAGTATTCACAACTGAGAGGGACCTAGTTGTAGAGGTGGACAGTACGAAACAGGCTGGTAGGCTAGAGGAGGTTACTGGTAGTAAGGAAGATGTACTAGGAATTCTGAGGAAGTTGAAGATAGATAAGTCCCCCAGGCCTGATGAGATTTATCCAAGGATTTTATGGGAAGCAAGGGAAGAGATCGCAGGGCCTTTGGCGATGATCTTTTCGTCCTCACCGTCCATGGGTATAATTCCGGAAGATTGGAGAGAGGCAAACGTCATTCCCTTGTTCAAAAAAGGGAACAGGGATAACCCCGGAAATTACAGGCCAGTTAGTCTTACGTCAGTGGTGGGCAAATTATTGGAAAGGGCTCTGAGAGATAGGCTTTATGATCACTTGGATAGGCACAGTTTGATTCGTGATAGTCAGCATGGATTTGTGAGGGGTAGATCATGCCTCACAAACCTTATTGAATTCTTTGAAGTGGTGACCAAACACGTGGATGAAGGTAGAACAGTGGATGTGGTATACATGGATTTAAGTAAGGCGTTTGATAAGGTTCCCCATGGTAGGCTCATGCAGAAAGTATGGAGGCATGGGATAGGGGGAAATATGGCAGATTGGATTCAGAATTGGCTGACCCTTAGAAGACAAAGGATAGTAGTGGATGGAAAATATTCAACGTGGTGCTCAGTTACTAGTGATGTACCACAAGGATCTGTTCTGGGTCCTCTTATATTTGTGATTTTTGTAAATGATTTGGATGTAGGAGTGGAAGGGTGGATTAGTAAATTCGCAGATGATACGACGGTGGGTCGAGTTGTGGATAGTGCGGATAGATGTTCTAGGTTACTGAGGGACATTGATAGGATGCAGAGCTGGGCTGAGAAGTGGCAGATGGAGTTTAACCCTGAAAAGTGTGAGGTGATCCATTTTGGAAAGACAAACTTGAAAGCAGAATACAGGGTTAACAGAAAGATTCTTGGCAGTGTGGCGGAGCAGAGGGACCTTGGGGTTCATGTCCACAGTTCCCTGAAAGCTGCCACCCACGTGGATAGAGTTGTTAAGAAGGCGTTTGGTGTGTTAGCTTTCATTAATAGAGGGGAATGAGTTCAAGAGTCGTGAAGTTATGCTCTAGCTGTACAAAAGCCTGGTTCGTCCACATCTGGAGTATTGTGTCCAGTTCTGGTTGCCTCATTCGAGGAAAGATGTGGAAGTGTTGGAAAAGGTGCAGAGGAGATTTACCAGGATGTTGTCTGGAATGGAGGGAAGGTCTTACGAGGAAAGGTTGAGAGAGCTATGGCTTTTCTCTTTAGAACGATGAAGGATGAGAGGTGACCTGATAGAGGTGTACAAAATGATCAGAGATATAGATAGAGTGGACAGCCAGAGACTTTTTCCTAGGGTGGAGGTAGCTATTACGAGGGGGTATAGTTTTAGAGTGAGTGGAGGTAGATATAGGGGAGACATCAGAGGTAGGTTCTTTACTCAGAGAGTGGTAGGGGCGTGGAATGCATTGCCGGAGAAGGTAGTGGAGTTGGCCTCATTAGGGGCATTTAAGCGGCAAATAGATTGGCATATGGATGATAGTATAAGGTAGGGGTGGAGGTTAGATAGACGTTAGGTTTAGGGTAAAAGTTCAGCATAACATTGTGGGATGAAGGGCCTGTACTGTGCTGTAGTGTTCTATGTTCTATGTTCTACTTCTGTACTCAAACCCTCTTGCAGCAAAGGCCAACATAATGTTTGCCTCATAACTGCTTGCTGAACCTGCCTGTCTACTTTCATTGACTGTTGTACAAGGATACCCAGATTCCTTTGTACATCCACACTCCCCAATATGTCACGAATTAAACAATACTCTTCCTTTCTGTTTTTCACACTAAAGTGTATAATTTCAGATATAGCCATGTGGTACTGTATTTGCCATATGCTTGTCCACGCACTCAGCTTTGTCTAACTTACCTTCAAGCCTCCTTGCATCCTCCTCACAACTCACAATCTCTCCTAATTTTATGTTATCAACAAACGTGGAACTATTGCAATTGGTTTCCTTATCCAGGTTATACATGTATATTGTGAATAGCTGGGGCCCAAGCACTAATTCTTGCAGTACCTTACAAGCCACTGCTTGCCCCTCAAAAAGAGACCTGTTTATTCCCACTCTCAGTTTCCAGTCTGTCAACCAATTATCAATCAATGCCAATACATTACACCTTATCCCATGCAATTTAATTTTGCCCACTCGCCTCTTATGAAAAGTCTTCTGAAAATCCAAATGCACCACAGCCAAAGGTTCTTCATTATCTATTCTACTAGTTAATCCTCAAAAAACTCTAGTAGATTTGTTAAGCATGATTTGTCTTTCATAAACCCATGCTGCATTTATCCAATCGCACTAATGTTTTCCAAATATTCTATTATGATGTCTTTTCAAATAGACACTAGCATTTCTCCACCATTGATATTACGATAACTGGTTTATAATTCTTTATTTTTGTTTTCTCTCCCTCCCTATTTAAACAGGGGGTTACATTTGCCACCCTCCAATTTGTAGGAACTGCTCCAGAGCCTATTGAATTTTTGAAGATGACCACTGATGCATCCAATATTTTGAGGTCCATTTCCTTTAGCACCCTAGGATATAGATTATCAGGTCTTGGTGATTTGACAGCCTTCAAATCCATTAATCCCTTGCACTTTTTTTTTACTAATACTGCTTTCCTCTAATTCCACCCTCTCATTAGACACTTCATTCCTAACATTTCTGGGAGGTTATTTTTGTCTGCTTTTGTGAAGACAGAACCAAAGTATGTGCTCAATTTTTTTAGCCATTTCTTTGCTCCCCATTGTCATTTGATCAACTTTTGACTGTAAGAATTTGTTTTTACTGATCTTCTTCTCCTACATTTATAGAAGCTTTTACAGTCAGTTTTTATATTTCCGCAATTTTACTCTTGCACACTATTTTCGCCCCATTGATCAAACTTCTTGTCCTTTGTTGGTCCCTCGAACCCAAGGACATTCTTACTGTGGATACCCCTCAGTGCAAATACCCCTCACCTTGCATACAGCTCATCATGGTTACCCACACTGTGGATAACCCTTACTGTGGATAACCCTCACTGTGTATACCCACACTGTGGATAACCCTTACTGTGGATAACCCTCATCGTGGATACTCCTGCCATGGATATTCCTCACTGTAAATGACCTGAATCTGAAATGACCTATCCAGGGTGACAGCAGGAAATATCCACAATTTTTCCACATTTCTGGATAGCATGAGGCAAATGGATAATTTTGCTTAGAACTGGAGAAGATCCTCTTCTTGAACTGAAACCAGACATAAATTGTGGTCTTCACCTGACTCTCACACTTCCCTCTGTTAACAGCTGAAGGGAATGAGCAAAGCAGAATGCAGGCTTCTTACCTGCACTGCGTGCTGTTCCGAGTCTTTGCTGAACATTATCTTCATTGCTGTAGTGCTGCTCCTGGTAACTACTGACCCGTTTACACCGCACGAGGAAAGATCGGGGCATCCTGTATATTTCAGCTGTAGTGCTACACCATGCTCTGTAAATATAACCCCAAAAGCCCTGTAAATGTAAGTGAGCAAACAACTAACATTGAGCACTGAACACTGACCAACAAGTTAGTTTAACATCTCTTAAAGGAGAAAAAGTTAGAAGCTAATAGTAAATTATAGCAGGGCATTCTGATAAGTTCAAGGTAGTCAGGAAGAATCAACATGATTTTGTGAAATCATGTTGGACCTACCTATTGAAATTCTTCAAGATAATATCATTGGCTGTGACATTGGTATTGGTTCTGGGGGAGTGGTGTGACAAGTACAAGATTACACCTGGGCAAGACTGGGATTGATGTCCTAGGGCAAATACTTTCTTCTGTGATTGGAGCAGATTTAAACTACAACTGGGGGATGGAGGTGTACTTAAGCAGGGTGACAAAGAAAAGTGAAATAAGGACAACAATAAAAGTAGAAACAGTAAATGAGGAATTAGTAGACAAAGTATTCAAGGGTGAGGAGGCAAATAGGGCTGCAGTTCAAGGAAAAGTTAGGATTATCAAAGCTTTGTATCTTAATGTATGAAGCATTCAGAATAAGGTAAGTGGACTGACATCACAAATTGAGGTAAATGGATATGACTCAGGTATTACGGAGACATAGTTACAATGAGATCAGAATTCAGAACTTAACATTCAGGGATATTTGACCTTTTGGAAAGATAGGAGGGATGTAAAAGGTGGTAGGTAGCACTGCTAATGAGGGATGAAATAACAGTTGTGAGAAATGATCTAGGCTTGAATGATGTACAGTCCAATTTTGTGGAGTAAGGGAAATAAGATACTGCTAGGAAAAGTATATAGACACCTGAATAGTAGCCATGATGTTGGAAAGTGTGTACATCAACAAATAATAGGAGCATGTTAAAAAAAGCAGCAATAATTATGGATGACTTTAACCTTCACAGTAACTGAGTCAATCAAATCAGAAACTATAGCTATGATAACAAATTCGTTGTGTGTATTGGGGATGGATTCCTAGAGCAATATGGAGCCAACGAGGGAACAGGCGATCCTGGATCTGGTAATGGGCAATGAGGCAGGTTTGATAAGTGAACAAAGAACAATACAGCTCAGGAATAGGCCCTTCAGCCCTCCGAGCCTGCGCTAACATATTTTACCTTTCCTTACTAAAACTGTCTTCACTTACAGGATCCATATCCCTCTATTCCCTTTCTATTCATGTAGTTGTTCAGGTTCTTCTCAAATGCTGCTATTGCATCTGCTTCCACCACCTCCTCTGGCAGCGCATTCCAAGCACTCACCACCCTTTATGTGAAAAACTTGCCTCTCACATCTTTTTTAAACATCTGTCTGCACATTGAACCTGTATCCCATAGTAATTGAACCCTCTACCCTCGGAAAACATCTCATACTTTCGACTCTATCCATGTCATTCACAATCTTATAAACTTCTATCAGGTCGCCCCTCAACCTCCTGCGTTCCAGTTAAAACAAATCCATTCTATCCAAAGTGTGGAGCTGGAGGAACACGGCAGGCCAGGCAGCATCAGAGGAACAGGAAAGCTGACATTTCGGGTTAGAAATCTGAAGAAGGGTCCCGACCCGAAACGTCAGCTTTCCTGTTTCTCTGATGTGCCTGGCCTGCTGTGTTCCTGCATGTTCCACGCTTTGTTATCTCTGACTCCACCATCTGCAGTTCTTGCTATCCCATTCTATCCAACCTTTCTTCATAGCTAAAATCCCCTTACCAGGCTATATGCTGGTAAACCTTTTACCTACCCTCTCCAAAGCATCCACATCCTTCTGGTAGTGTGGTGACCAGAACTGTACACAATATTCCAAGGGTGGCCTAACTAAAGTCCTATAAAACTGCAGCATAACTTGCCAATCCTTATACTCAATACCCCTTCAAATGAAGGCAAGCATGCCATAGGCCTTTTTTACTACCTTATCTGCCTGCGCTGCCACCTTCAGTGATCTGTGGACTGGCACACCCAGATCCCTCTGCATATCAAAACGCCTAAGGGTTCTTCCATTCGCTGTATAAGTTCCACCTGTGTATGTTCTTCCAAAATGCATCACCTCACATTTTTCCAGATTAAACTCCATCTGCCATTTTTCTACCCATGCCTCCAACTGATCTATATCCTGCTGTATCCTCTAATAATTGTCCTGACTATCTACAACTCCACCAATCTTCGTATCATCTGCAAACTTACTAATTAGATCAGGCACATTTTACTCCAAATCATTTTGATCACGAAAAGCAGAGGTCCCAGCACTGATCCCTGTGGAACACCACGAGTCACAACCCTCCATTCTGAAACCATCCTTCTACCGCTACCCTCTGTCTCCTATGACTAAGCCAGTTCTATATCCATTTTGCCAGCTCATTCCAACACAATGTGACTTCACCTTTTGTACCAGTCTTCCATGATGGACATTTTACTGAAGTCCACGTAGACACATCAACCACTTTTCCCTCACTAACTATCTTCATCACCTCCTCAAAAAATTGATCAAGTTGGTGAGGCACGATCTCCCCCGCACAAAACCATGCTATCGCTAATAAGTTCATTTGTTCTAAATATGTATATAACTTGTCACTGAGCATCTTTTCCAATAATTTCCGTACCACTAACATGACGCTCATAGGCTTGTAATTTCCTAGATTAACTGTTCTACCCTTATAAAACAATGGGACAACATTGGCTATTCTCCAGTCCTCTGGGACCTCACCTGTGGCCAAAGAAGATACAATGATGTCTGTCAATGTTCCGGCAATTTGTTCTCTTGCCTCCCTCAATTATCTGGGATGGATCCCATCAGGACCTGGAGAGTTATCTGCCTTAATACTTTTTAAGATGCACAACACCTCTTCCTTTTTAGTAGCAACTTGGTTTAGAAATTTGATACTCCCTTCCCTGAGATCATCCTCCATTAATTCCTTCTCTTTGGTCAATACTGACACAAAGTATTCATTTAGAACAATACCTGCCTCTTCTGGCTCCACACACAGATTTCCTCCTTTATTCTTGAATGGGCCAACTCTTTCCCTGGCTACCCTCTGGGATTCTCCTTAATCCTGTTTGCTAATGACTTCTCATGACCCCTTTTAGCCCTTCTAATTCCTTATTTAAGTTCTTCCCTACTTTCCTTATATGACCTGAGAGTAAAAAGATCCCCGAGAAAGTAGTGATCATAACATGATAGAATTTAATATTCAGTTTGAATGTAAGAAATTCGGATGAGAAACCACTGTGTTTAACTTAAATAAAGGGAATTACAATGAACTGAGAATAGACTTAGCTAAAGTGGACTGGACTAGGTGGATAGATTAGCAGGAAAGGCAGTAAATAAGCAATGACAGTTATTTAAGGAGGTATGATTCTCAGCAAAAATATATCTCAGTAGGGAGGAAAGATTCTAAGAGAGGGATAAACCAAACATGACTAACCAAGGAAGGTGTAGAGAGTATAAATTTGAATGAAGAAGCATATAATGAGGCAAAAGTCAGTGATAGCCTCAAAGACTGGGATAAATTCAGAATCCAGTAAGGGATAACTAAAAAGATAATAACAAAGGAGAAAATAAATTACGAGGGCAAATATAAAAACTGACAATCAGAGCTTCTTCAAATATATAAAAAGGAAGAGAGATGTCAAAGTAAACATAGGCCCCTTAGAAGATGAATCTGCTGAGATAGTTAAGGTAACAAAGAAATGGCAGAGGAGTTAAACAGATATTTTGTAGCAGTCTTTACAGTGGAAGATACATTGAATATCCCATTCATACTAAAGAATATGGGGGAGGAATTAAGTACCATCACCATCACTGGAGAAGTAGTATTAGTCAACCCAATGAAGCTAAAGGCAGATAAGACCCCTGGTCCTGACAGCTTGCACCTTAGGATCCTAAAAGTAGTGACAGAGATGGTGGATGCATTGGTTGTAATTTTCCAAAAATCCTTGGATTCTGGAGAAGTAAAGGAGGATTGAAAAATTACCAATGTGAAACCCCTGTTCAAAAAGGGCAGGAGGCAAATGTGGGTTGGATTATTAGAATCAATTATTGAGGAAATAATAGCAGCGCATCTGGAAAATCATGTGCATGAAACATAGAAAGCCAGCATAATGTGTGCAGCAGATAATCAGGAAGGCCAACGGAATGTTTGCTATTATTTCAATGGAGTTGGAGTATAAGAGTAGTGAAGTCTTACTGCAACTGTACGAGGTGCTGGTGAGACCACATCTGGACTATTGTGATGAGTTTTGGGTCCCGCTTTTCAGTAAAGGTATCATTTCACTGGAGGCAGTTTAGAGTAGGTTCACTATGGAGGATGATCTCTGGTATGAAAGGATTGTCTTATGAGCAAAGACTAAGCAGGTTGGGACTCTATTCATTGAATTTCAGAAGAAGGAGAGGTGATCTCATGAAAACATAGGATTCTTAAGGGGCCTGACAGGTTAAATGCTGAGAAGATGTTTCCCTTTGTGGGAGGATCTAGGACCAGAGGGCACAGTCTCAGAATATAGGAGCACCAATTTCAGACTGAGATGAGGAGGAATTTCTGCCCTCAGATGGTTACGAGTCTTTGGAACTCCTTGCCACAGAGACAGAGTCCTTGTGAATACTTAAGATTGAGATGGATTCTTGATCAGTTGGGCAATTAAGGATTATTGCAAAGATGCAGGAAAGTGGATATGAGGAATGTTGGATCCTATTGAATGGCGGAACAAGCTTGGGGGCCCAAACAGCCCTCTTCTGATCCTATTTCTTATGTCTTATGATAAAGGGGAGCCAGCGGACGTACTGTACTTTGCTTTCCAGAAGGCACTTAATCAGGTGCAACATCAAAGGTTACTGTGGAAAACAAATGTTCATCGTATAGGAATGAACGTGGCGTATTGGCATGGATAGAAGATTGGCTGGTTAAGAAAAAGCAGAAAGTAGCAATAAATAGGTCCTTTTCAGGCTAGGAGATTCCATAAGCAGCGTGCTGCAGGGGTTGGTGCTGTGGCTTC